ATCATTTCAAAAACCTCTTCACAATCCTTTTTTTTTTTCTTTTCTGAAATGCTTAAACAGGGTGAGGGAAGTATTTTCTTGCGTTAGCTTTTTGCGTCTTGGCCTTTCTCAACAAGGATGTAAGAGAGTCCCCGGGGCAGAGGTTTAAGTGGTCAGCAGCAGAGTTGTTGGCAGAGGGGTGTGGTGTGCCCTCTGCAGATGGCAGGCGATTTAGCAGTGGATTGATCCTCCAGTTTCTACTGTTGAGCTGTGGGCTCATTTTCTGGACCTTTTCCCACCTTTTATCCTCATCTTCGATAAAGTCAAACAACTCCATAGACTGCACCTTCTTGCTCTTTTGTTTTTCAGGAAGAGGTTTAGATCTGGGCATGAGCTTTCTACGTAAGACAGGTTTATATTCAGCTAGAGATCTTTCCCTGCATTTCAATTCCCTGTCTGCTTGCAGCCTCTTCTGTTCTTGTTCCTGTCTTGACTTTTGTCTCTGCTGATGCTCCATGTTCTCTTTAGCCAAGGACCCTTTAGGAACTTTGTCGAGCCGTTTCACGAGTCCTTCTACGGCCTGGTACGTCTTTTGCAATTTGTCGTCAGTGGTGAAGGCAAACATCTCATCACTTCTTATGGTGTCATACACCTCATCTACTTTCTTAATCAGAGTCTGCTTCATGAGATCTTCGTTTGAGTTCCCAACTGACTCAAAGACCTGGACCATGTGCTTATAATAGACTGCGTTGTCTTCCATTCTCTTGGTTTGGTCTTCTAGCTCTTTCATGAGGGCTTCATGTGTATCCTGCTCCTTCGTAAAATTCTTGACAACTGTGTCTGTCATCTCACACTCTTTCTTTAGAGTATTCTTTTCCTGTTGAATGCTGTCTAACAAATGCAGGTTGATGGATTCTAAGTGTGTCCTCTTTTCAAGAAGGTGGTTTGGATCAGAAAGGATGTGTGCAAGGTACAGCTTCTCATCCTGGCTGGACTGGTCATCTGGACTGCAGGAAGAGATCTCGACGATAATGTCTCTGTATGATTTATATTTATTCAAGACTTCTTCGGTCTGTGCCAAGTCTGTGTTTACTGCCCCTATTTTGCTGTGTAACTCTGCAATTTCCAAGTCCAACTTCTCATTTGACTGGCGTTCTCTTTCCAAGTCAGAGTTGACTTTAGAAATAATTTCCTCAGTCCTCTTACGCTCCCTCTCTTCCCTTTCTTTGCTTATATCAAGGGCCAATCTGAGGTATTCAATCTTTTTCTCCTTTGCATCAATAGCTTGGTTCAACTTGTCGATGCGTGATCTGTTGGCGAGGATGGATTGTTGAACCCTGGCTCTTGCCACATCTACCATTTTTTCAGATTAATTTAGATTTTAAACAGGATTAAACTGGGTTGTGCTTTGCTATGTGAGAGCTGCAGTTTAATGATCCTTAAAATAAACCAACTGAAAGTCTAACCCTTTAATTAAACGTTCATAAACAGTCTGAAATGTGACATCAAAGATTTCTGACATCATCTATGGTAACTTCAAAGATTTCTGTGACATCATCAACTTTGGTGACGTCATAGATTTCTGTGACATCATCAACTATTGTGACATCATAGATTTCTGTGACATCATGGTGACAGCACATTATTCTGTTGTTCCACATAGACTGTTTATATTATGGACAGCTTGGTTCCACCTTTTGCCAGTATACAGATTTTGATTTATTATTTTAATTTTGCGGCATCAAAAGTGATACTAACTTAAGTTTCTCACATTGTCTTTTATTTAAAGACAATTCAGGAGACATATATTTACTGTTTATGAATGGAATGAAAAGTATAGTCTCTATTATTAGGGTTTAGCATACGCCAAATGTCTGTCAGACCCACTTCGTTTAGCATTAGCCGAATAGCCTTTTGCCTGGGGCTTAGTTTGGCTGAGGTAGCTGTCGGTTATTTATCCCACATCCCATCTTGAACGGAATTCCAGTCTCCACCACAGATTGTAATAGGGCAACTATATTTCACCAATAAGGATGTTTATTTTGTAAACATATTCAATTCGATGTTTGGAGCTGCATACACATTCAAAATGCTTACATTTTCGCCATACAAAACCCCATGGAGAAATATATAGCAACCGTCTGGATCAGACTCATAATGTTCTACATTTAGAGGCAAGTTTTTGTGAATTAAGATAGCAACTCTCCTAGTTCAACTATTATAAGATGAAGAAAAAAATACTTGTCCAACCCAGTCTCTTTTTAATTTTGAATGTTCCACGCTAGTTAGATGAGTCTCCTGTAACATCCCAATAGATACTTTCTCCTTTTTCAAAAAAGATACGATTTTCTATCTCGTTATGGGGTGATTACATCCATTATTGTTCCAAGAGCAAGTTTTAATGGAGTTTTTAAGTGACATAGGATCCTAAATCAGTACCATAGTATTGATTGTATTTTAACCACCACATGCATAATACATTATGAGTTGCTGGTTTGCTGCTAACGCACACAGATACAAACACGCTCACAGAACAAAAGAGAACAAAAAACAGGAAACAAAAAACATTTAGTACCAAATGCCAAGATGGAAGTAGTGCACCCGTGTGCGGCATAAAGTAGCCCCCCTCACCCCTCCTCCCACCCACTCAAACAGTAATAGGCCAAGCACAAGGCTAATTGACCTGCGATCTGCCTAACCATTTCTTCACCCTATATAGGAAGGAGCTATTGTCTGTCGTCTAAGAAGAACAAAGCCAGAATTTAACCAGAACTGCTGTCGTTTAGTTAGTTTCTATTATATGCAGTTTACTTATGAATCACTTAAAAAAAAAAGAGAGAGAGAGAAAGAGAGAGAGAAATAAAGTGCTTTGCTTGACCTAGACCTTTTTTTTTTTTTGGAAATTATAAAGTATACTAATCATGTCAACCACATTGCCAAACCACTCCAAAAAGCCAAGCAACAGACCTAGACGGCTGCACCCCAAGAACACGGGCATGCTGCCGATATTGCTGACATACAGCCACCCAGGCCCATCACTCAACCCCTCAGAACAATTCAGCAATGCGGCCAACATGAAAGTATTAAGAGAGTAGCCTTCACATGACTAGCAGAAAGTAACAGGATAGGTAAATTAAATAATTGGGTTCCATAGCAATTAATGAAACAGAAATACAAACACACTACCATTGTGATAATCATGCTGACGTAGTCGATGTAGTTGTTATCCCACTTTTGTCAATCAAAAAATATTAATTAAGGGAAGAAAAAAAAACAGAATGGAGTATTTCAATGTTAACATCAGGACACCATCATATTACCTAAATTAAAATACATAAGTATAGTAATGACCGTAACAAAAATAATAGCCAAAAGTCATGTATTGGTCAAGAATTAAACTAAGGAAAGCAAGCCAGATCAATCAACAGTCATTAATTGGCTTAGGCTTTGAACCATCAGTGAGCCATTAAAATAAGTAACGTTTAACTTATTTGTTTCTTTTGTGTCCAAGACCCACTGGTGAGACTGTTTTCAAACAGCTCAAAAAACACATTAACGAAAAACAACTATTAAAAGGCTAACTAAAGTAAGATATACAATAAGCCCTCAGGGGAGAGAGAAAGAAAAAAGGGGGAGGGGGGGCTCATATTAATAAACTTAAATTAATTTAGCAAAGATGAAAACAGTACTAATTGTAATAAACCAAGAACGAAACTAAACTGAATTAACCCAATTAACACTCAGTAATTTGCTGACTTAATCTTTAAACCATCCGTGGGTCATTAGAATACCGTTTACCATAGTGGATTTTTCTTTTTTCCTTCTTTTTCCCTTTCCTTTCTTTCCTTTTCCTTTTTTCTTTCTTTCCCTTCCCCCCTTTCTTTCCCCCTTTCCCCCTTCCATCCCCTTTCTCTCCCTTCCCCTTTCCTTTTTTCTTTCCTTTCTCTCCTTTTTTTTTGTATCCACTATCTTTATTTTTGATCTTTATTGTGTAAGAATCGGCTACAACCTGTGAACACAGGAAAACATTGAGTAAGTTGCAATAGTTCAGTGGGAAAGTATAAGTCTAAATCAGTGTTGCCAGCTCCTCAGTAAGGAAAGTAGCTATTGGCTGTCCTAAAAGTCGCAAGTCATTGCCTAATTTGTATAATTGGCAAAATTGTAATGGACGCTGTAAGGGAGAAGAACAACATCGTGGGAGAGACAAAAAGTAAATAAAAATCACCCCAAATATGTTCAGAACCACAAATGAATTTTCTTTTGTCGATTCTGGTATTATTATAATTTTTTTTTTTTTTTATGTCAAAATACCAACCCTCCACCTTTATCCAGGCTTGCAAACGGCAAAAATGACCCAATTGAGACAATTTTTCTTTCTTTTTTTTATTTATTTATTTTAGTTTTTTAAGTTTTGTTTGGTTTTAAACAACCAGCGGCGGCTTCGCTTATGTGCGATTCATTTGCACTCCAATGAGGCTTTTTTGAAAATTAGACGCTAGAGGGGTCTGAAAACTCGCTGAATATGTGCAGTGTAGTGTAGTAGTGGAAACATAGGGGCATGCAGAGTTGACCAGTTTACACACTCGACCAGAGTCTTCGAAAGACCCTCAAGCTCTCCTTTCCCTCACTTTTATGCTGCTGTGTGTGTTCGTGAACATAGTAGATTTGTGTTACAATGTGTATTACAATTGCCCATCTATGAAGAGTGTGTTACAAGTATAAGTGTCTTTAGGTGTGTATTTTTTTTTTTTTTCTTTATTTATTTGAGTTTTTTAAGTTTTGTTTGGTTTTAAACAACCAGCGGCGGCTTCGCTTATGTGCGATTCATTTGCACTCCAATGAGGCTTTTTTGAAAATTAGATGCTAGAGGGGTCTGAAAATGTGAATATGCTGAATATGTGCTGTGCAGTGTAGTGTAGTGTAGTAGTGGAAACATAGGGGCATGCAGAGTTGAGATGTAAAAATGAAACATCATTTCAAAAACCTCTTCACAATCCTTTTTTTTTTCTTTTCTGAAATGCTTAAACAGGGTGAGGGAAGTATTTTCTTGCGTTAGCTTTTTGCGTCTTGGCCTTTCTCAACAAGGATGTAAGAGAGTCCCCGGGGCAGAGGTTTAAGTGGTCAGCAGCAGAGTTGTTGGCAGAGGGGTGTGGTGTGCCCTCTGCAGATGGCAGGCGATTTAGCAGTGGATTGATCCTCCAGTTTCTACTGTTGAGCTGTGGGCTCATTTTCTGGACCTTTTCCCACCTTTTATCCTCATCTTCGATAAAGTCAAACAACTCCATAGACTGCACCTTCTTGCTCTTTTGTTTTTCAGGAAGAGGTTTAGATCTGGGCATGAGCTTTCTACGTAAGACAGGTTTATATTCAGCTAGTGATCTTTCCCTGCATTTCAATTCCCTGTCTGCTTGCAGCCTCTTCTGTTCTTGTTCCTGTCTTGACTTTTGTCTCTGCTGATGCTCCATGTTCTCTTTAGCCAAGGACCCTTTAGGAACTTTGTCGAGCCGTTTCACGAGTCCTTCTACGGCCTGGTACGTCTTTTGCAATTTGTCGTCAGTGGTGAAGGCAAACATCTCATCACTTCTTATGGTGTCATACAACTCATCTACTTTCTTAATCAGAGTCTGCTTCATGAGATCTTCGTTTGAGTTCCCAACTGACTCAAAGACCTGGACCATGTGCTTATAATAGACTGCGTTGTCTTCCATTCTCTTGGTTTGGTCTTCTAGCTCTTTCATGAGGGCTTCATGTGTATCCTGCTCCTTCGTAAAATTCTTGACAACTGTGTCTGTCATCTCACCCTCTTTCTTTAGAGTATTCTTTTCCTGTTGAATGCTGTCTAACAAATGCAGGTTGATGGATTCTAAGTGTGTCCTCTTTTCAAGAAGGTGGTTTGGATCAGAAAGGATGTGTGCAAGGTACAGCTTCTCATCCTGGCTGGACTGGTCATCTGGACTGCAGGAAGAGATCTCGACAATAATGTCTCTGTATGATTTATATTTATTCAAGACTTCTTCGGTCTGTGCCAAGTCTGTGTTTACTGCCCCTATTTTGCTGTGTAACTCTGCAATTTCCAAGTCCAACTTCTCATTTGACTGACGTTCTCTTTCCAAGTCAGAGTTGACTTTAGAAATAATTTCCTCAGTCCTCTTACGCTCCTTCTCTTCCCTTTCTTTGCTTATATCAAGGGCCAATCTGAGGTATTCAATCTTTTTCTCCTTTGCATCAATAGCTTGGTTCAACTTGTCGATGCGTGATCTGTTGGCGAGGATGGATTGTTGAACCCTGGCTCTTGCCACATCTACCATTTTTTCAGATTAATTTGGATTTTAAACAGGATTAAACTGGGTTGTGCTTTGCTATGTGAGAGCTGCAGTTTAATGATCCTTAAAATAAACCAACTGAAAGTCTAACCCTTTAATTAAACGTTCATAAACAGTCTGAAATGTGACATCAAAGATTTCTGACATCATCTATGGTAACTTCATAGATTTCTGTGACATCATCAACTTTGGTGACGTCATAGATTTCTGTGACATCATCAACTATGGTGACGTCATAGATTTCTGTGACATCATCAACTATTGTGACATCATAGATTTCTGTGACATCATGGTGACAGCACATTATTCTGTTGTTTCACATAGACTGTTTATACAAGGGCAGCCAGTCATTGGCTTCTACGCATGCGTCAGTATTGCACACGATCCCGCCGAATCGCTCCGTCCCGGGCGACTTTTAACCCAATTTTAACCGGTTTTAAGCAACTTTTTAGACTGCATTCTTAACAGTTTGTTGGCTTTTAAGTTGAATTTTTACCGTGTATGGGTTTTATCGGCTATTTTAAGACGGCCCTCAGACGATCCACGCTGCATTACGCACGGAACTCTGCGCGGGACCCGGAAGAGTGGGAATTTTAAATGGCTGTGTGTGCGGACTGCAAAATAAAAAACTCACGGTTGGAAGAGAAGCTTTGTCGTCTGCAAAATGATCTCCGTGAGAAGGATAGGCTGCTGGAGGGCTTCATATCCGTAGCTTCAGCTCAAGCCAAACATATATCCCTGAGTCAGGCCTCCAGGATCACCGGTCTTTCGCCCTCGGCTCTGGCACCACAGCTGGTTTCGGCCTCCGCTGCCACTCTGCCCTGGTTGGCCTCCCTGCATTCTCCGATCGGGCCGGCCGAGGGCCCTGCAGCCGGGGGTCCAGCCGGCTCACCCGTGCCGCACAGCGCAAAGCCGGCAGGCTGTCTCCCCACCTCTCCTCCCGCGCATCGGTACAGTCAGGATCTGAGACCGCTGGACGACCCTGACACTGGCATGGTAGCGGGGCTCCCAGCGCTCCCTACCCACAGCTCGACCCCAAAGCTGAAGGGGCAGCAAACCTGGCTCGAGGTGGCGCAACGCGGACGGAGGACGACCGCAGCGGAGAGAGTCCCTTCACCACCACGGCTCTCTCTCTCCAACCGCTTCTTGGCCCTGAGGGATGAGGCTCCCGCTGTCCCAGTCCCTGCTCCGGCTCCACCTCTCCTGACGGTCCCAGCTCCAGCAGAGGCGGCTCCGCGGATGTCCAACTCGGACCTGGCACCGCGGCCCTCCTCGACCGGGATACTGCGTCGCAGGCTGCTGAAGGAGGCCGTCTCCAGGCGCTCGGAGAGGCTCCCCCGGGCCGGCAACAACCTCACTCCACCTGCGTCCGCTCACTGCCGACAATCGCCGTCTCCTGCACAGGTGGAGCGCCCAACTTCTGAAGGCTTCAGCGCCTGCACACCAGCTCCTCGTCCCCTTTTTCCCCCGACCACGCTCATCATCGGAGACTCCATAACCAGGTACATCAGGTTTTTTAATGCCATCACTCACTGTTTTCCCGGCGCCACGGTACCTGTCATCCTGGACAAACTTCTTAATCTACTCCCCTCTCTCCCCTCCTCTGTCACTAAGATTGTGCTCCATGTTGGTTCAAACGACATGTCCCTTAAGCAGTCAGAAATCACAAAGAGGGATTTTAACTTGCTTTTTAACGTTTTAAAGGACACTGGAAAGACTGTTTTTATCTCTGGCCCGATCCCCACTCTCGGTCGTGGAGGGGAACGTTTTAGCAGGATCCTCAGCCTCCACACCTGGCTCCAATCCACATGCCCCACCCACAACTTCGGTTTTATTGACAATTTTAATCTGTTTTGGGACCGAGCATCACTTTTTAGCCATGATGGGATCCACCCCAACAGGCGGGGTAGCCGAATGCTCTCTTGCAACATCCAGTATATGATCCACTCCTCACCCGTCTGACAGTCTGCACTCAGCAGCCCATCTTTCCACAACCAGGCCACCCCCCCTTCTCCTCACAATAACCTCTGGTCATCTCATAACAGTCCCACAATCCCCGCTCATTCACCTGCCAACCCCCACCTTCCTCTGCCCTTCTCTGATTTTATTTCACAAAACAGTCTGGACTTTTTTATTCTGACTGAAACCTGGCTGACTCCAGACAATTGTATTTCTCTTATAGAAGCCACCCCCCCTGATTTTACTCACCTCCATCAGCCCCGGCAGTCAGGCCGGGGAGGGGGGGTGGCTGTCATATACAAGAAGGATTTTAAATGCACCCCCATCACCTTCAGCACTTTTAGTTCATTTGAGCACCTTGCTTTTATTGTTAAATTGAAAGAACCTATTTTAATCATAATCATTTATCGACCACCCAAACACAACGCTGTTTTTATTCAGGAGTTTTCAGAGTTTCTATCCCTTTTTATTTGTAAATATGACAAAGTTCTTATTTTGGGTGATTTTAATGTACATGTCTGTTGTCCCTCTCAACCCTTAACTGTTGATTTTATTGAAACTCTGGACTCCTTTAATCTTACCCAGGCAATACAGGAACCCACTCATGTAAAGGGACACTGCTTAGATTTGGTTTTATTTAGTGGACTTAGTCCTGGGGAGTTTTTAACTAAGGATATCTGTGTGTCAGATCACAAACTGGTTTTATTCTCCATGGTTTTATCCCAGCCCTCTTTTACCGATCACACTCCTGTTTTTAGAAGGGTTTTTAATGCATCGTCTGCTCGCAAGTTTTCGGAGCTTTTTATCTCTGCATCTTTAACTGCCCTCAACCCAGATTTTAATCCAGTTTTTAACACTGAAGAGCTTGTCTCTCTTTTTAACAGTATGTGTGGAACCATCCTGGACTCTGTAGCTCCTCTGAAAAAGAAAAGATCTAACAGAGAACCCCAACCCTGGCTCACAGAGTCCACCCATGAACTAAAGAGAATTTGTAGACGATACGAACGCAAATGGAAGAAAACTGGGTTGGTGGTTTTCCTCGAAATTTGGAGAGACTCCTTGAAAAACTACCAGAAGGCAGTTAAGGATGCAAGGGCAGCATTTTACTCAAATTTGATTTTAGCTAATTATTCAAACCCCAGAGTTTTATTCAAGGTTTTAGAGTCTCTTTCAAACCCTTCCCCCTCTTATTTTACTGATGCTTCTCAAGAAACCTGTGAGAAGTTTTTAATTCATTTTATTAACAAGGTTATGGACATCAGGCATCAAATCACCCCTCCCAGTCTCCCTGTACTCTTAAGCCGGGAAGTTAAGCACTTTTTTAGTAGTTTTGAGCCGGTGTCCTTAAAATTTTTATCTGATATTTTAGTCAATATGAAACCAGCTACGTGCAGTCTTGATTCTATCCCCACCAGATTTCTCAAAGAGGTTTTTAACGTGGTTGGGCCTAGCATTTTATCCATCATTAATAGCTCTCTAGTGGAGGGAGTATTTCCCTCTGCTTTTAAACACGCTGTGGTCCAACCCCTTTTAAAGAAGCCAAACCTTGACCCCTCTGATTTTAACAATTTTAGACCAATTTCAAAACTTCCATTTTTATCCAAACTTTTAGAGAAGGTGGTTTCTAAACAGCTTTTAAGTTTTATGTCCGAAAACAACCTCTTTGAGAAATTTCAGTCTGGTTTTAGAGCAGGTCACAGCACTGAGACTGCCCTCCTCCGTGTGACCAATGACCTTCTTTTAGCAGCAGATAGAGGGGAGGGCTCAATTTTAATTCTTTTAGATCTCAGTGCAGCTTTTGATACAGTTGATCATACTATTTTAATTGAACGTCTTAAAAACTGGGTGGGTGTCAGGGGCACTGCACTTGGCTGGTTTCAGTCGTATCTTTTAGAACGAACCTTTGCGGTCACCATAGGCAATCACACCTCCTCTACTTCTGCTATCGCCTGTGGTGTTCCACAAGGTTCAGTTTTAGGTCCAATTTTATTTTCTATATACATGCTGCCCCTTGGCCAATTAATTCAGCGCCACAAAGTCTCCTTTCACTGCTATGCAGACGACACACAGATATACCTTCCTTTGAGACCTGAGGACCCAAGAGGCCTAGCTGCTGTCATGGACTGTCTAAGTGACATTAACTGTTGGATGGCACAAAATTTCCTTCAGCTAAACTATTCAAAATCTGAAATAATTCTCTGTAACATACAAAACTCCCCCCTCATTCAGTCTTGTCTCGGTCCACACTCAGTAATCATCAAACCAACAGCCAGAAATCTGGGAGTAACCTTTGATTCAGACCTCACCTTCTCCACCCATATCAACAAGATTGTCCAGTCCTGTTTCCTTCACCTGCGCTCCATTTCAAAGATTAAACAAATACTCACCCCACCAGATCTCGAAAAGATAATCCACGCCTTCATTTTCTCAAGACTGGACTATTGTAACTCTCTCCTCCCTGGTTTAAACAAGAAATCACTCTCTCGCCTCCAACTAGTTCAGAATGCAGCAGCTAGACTTTTAACTGGTTTTAGTCGACGGCATCACATCACCCCAATTTTAGCCTCCCTTCACTGGCTCCCTGTCAGCTTTAGAATTGATTTTAAGATTTTATTGATTACTTTTAAAGCGCTCAAAGGACTTACTCCGAGCTACATTTCAGAGCTTTTAATATCTTATGAGCCAACTTGCAGCCTCAGATCCTCTGGCGAAGGCCTCCTGGTCGTTCCAAAATCGAGGCTCAAGACTAAAGGTGATAGAGCTTTCTCCATCAGAGCTCCTCGACTTTAGAACGACCTGCCAGAGGAGATAAGGCGTGCAGAGACAGTCGCTTCTTTTAAGTCAATTTTAAAAACTCACTTTTACAGACTTGCCTTTATGTGATGCCATCTTTCATCTTTTATTGCCTTTTACCGTTTTTATTTTTCTCCTTTTTCTTTTACCTCTTTCACCTCTTTCTTATTTAGACTTACTGCCTTTTTAGCCTTTGTTTTACTTATAATCTTTTTATTGATTTTAATGTTTTC